AGTTCTGCTAACTAAAGCAGAAGGTTTGTCCCGTTTAACTTATGTTGATAAGTCAAAATGTAAGTCTATTGACAGGATGTTATTTGATTTCCTATGGAAGAACAAAACTCATTATTTACGTAAGTCTGTTGTTCTAAATAATGATAAGTCAGGTGGCCTAAACTTTATCGATTTCGACTCCCTTAATAATACTTTTAAATGGATAAAAAAATTACCTTAAGAATCCAACCTCTATCTGGAACTTTATTTCACAGCACATTTTTTCACATTTAGGTGGTCTAGAGTTCATCCTTCTCTGTAATTATAGTATTCCAAAAATACCTACTAAACTTTCTAATTTTCACCAACAAGTACTTTTAGCATGGTCTGTCATCGATTAGCACAATTTCTCTCCTCAAAAATGTTATATCTGGAACAATTTTTCTATTCTGTACAAGAACAAATCTATATTTTTGCAGACATGGTTTATTAATGGTATTAACTTAGTGCATCGCTTGTTTAACAGCAAACGGTTTTTATACGGATACGCAGAATTTCTTAACCTTAAACAAATCTCGACACAACACCCCTGGCTGAGCTAGAGACAGACGCTGTGTTGGGATGGAGGCAGAGGTTTCTACCTACTAGGTTCTACAGGGGTTCCTAATTCAGCTCATTCTTATCAGCTGATCCTAGTTCTGCGTTGCTAAGCAGTCGGGTGGCTACGAACAGGAAACAGCTGATTTCTGAACATGAACTGGAGCTATCTGACCAACCAAACAAGTAAACAACAACACTAATAACTAATAAACAACCCAAAGCGTTCACCTTCAACATAACTAGGAAAGAATCTGCTTACTTCCGGGTTGTCTTCTTCCCTTGCTCTGTGGTGGGACAGATCACTGCTGCCTTCTGCTGGCTCAGTCCGGTCTAGTGTTCCGACCACAGATATGTATGTATATTAACGTGTGGTTTATATACATGTCTATGGTTCCGACTGCTGGTGAGGGTTCTCAGGCCCAACCTCAATACTCGCCCTGCGGACTTCAGCAAAGTGCACTTGGAGAAAGTGCGCAGAAGGCTTCGAGTGTGTAGTGCACAAGTGTGCAAAGAACTTTTTTTCCCTCAAACTTTATTTTCAACTTGCAGCAGAATTACAAAGAGGATAAACAAGCAAAAACAGATTAGTGACAAAAGTATAACATGAATTAACATGAGGTGCCAGGGGTTTGTTGACATGCAAAACCTGATATTTGCCAATTTTGGTTGAAATAAATAAAAGAAGAAAGAGAAAAGAATAACGATACATGTTTAAAGTTGTCCGGGTGAGAGCAAAGTCATTATGATATTATAATCAGAACATACTTTCATTGTCTTTACAGCTTTTATATTTTGTGAGGTAGATAATGTGTGCAAGTATCTTCCTTTTTGAAAATGCAGAATAAAGGTTGGATTTTCAGCACTTTGCATTTATGAATATAAAATTTAGCCAAAAGTCAAAACAAATTAACCATAAAAAAGCAGGTTCTCATTATTATTATTATTTCTTCATATTTTGTACATCCAAACAGCACATTTTTATATTGAAGTTGGAAGGAAGGCAGAATTTTTTCTTTCACTAACAAACAGAAAGCCTTCCATAGTTCTTGAGTAAGTGTACATGACCAAAATATGTGAGTAACAGTCTCTGGGTCTGAGTTGCAAAAGGTGCAGGCTGTATCAATGTCTTCCTTGTATCTAGTCAGGAAGGATTTAGCAGGATAGCACCGATGGATGATCTTATATGATATTTCTTCAACTTTGTTAGTCAATAAGTACCTGGTTGGAAGTGTCCACGTTGTTTTCCAGTCAGTATCAGGATACATGCTGTTCCAATGTGCAACCACAAAAGAGATAGACACAGTCCATCTGAAATAAATTACGAATACTTCTGTTCTTGTTGCGGGAGTCAGTTAAATACAATTTCCCCACAGGTGTATCCAGTGGATCCAGAGATGAAAATTGAGTTGTATGCACCTTTTAAAAGCATCAGCACCCCTGAAAGAATGGCATCAAAAACAATTGCGTATTGTTTAGGTGTCACTGGCATATTGTATTTATCAAGGAATTGAGTATAACTCATAAGCTGACCATTCTTATCGAGCAGTTGTTTCGCCATTAAAATATTGTTCCTAAACCAGTTCTCAATATACAATGATTTGTTCTTGTAAAGCAAATCCCTATTATTCCATCTAAGATACTTGTTTGGAGAAAAATTGTGCTTGTAGATAAATGACCATGCCAGTAATGCCTGTTTATAAAAGTTAGGCAGAGCTACTGGAATCTGTTTTGCATATTAAAAAGAAATTTAATCCACCAATTTTAGAGAATACATGATGTGGGATGAAATGCCATGTCGATAAGGGGTTTTTCAAACGATATTTAATCCAGTTGACTTTCAATGTGTTATTCAAATTGGTGAAGTCAAGAAAATTTAGACTGCTGTTAGCATAAGTATTCATTATTACAGATTTTTTTATGAATGGGTTTTGTTTTTCCAAACAAAATTAACAAGAATTTTATCAATATCTTTACATATCACTTTATTAATAGAGTATAAGGACCCATCTTTCGTCAAACATTTTGACAGGTCTATTGTTCTTTGACCTCATGACCTTGGCCCCCTTCCCTAGCATAAATTAAATTGACAGGTCTATTGTTCTTTGACCGGACGACCTTGGCCCCCCCGCCTTAGCCTAATGGGTGTAATGGTGCATGAAGTTTCCTTTAGTGAATCATTTTAGTTACGCTTGATAACTGCTTTGTGTTAGCCCCACAGTTCCCACGACCCCTCCCTTTCATACATAATACTTAAGTGAATTTGGTGTAATGGTGCATGAAGTTTCCTTTCGTGTTAGCCCCGCCCACAGCCCCTCCCTTTCATACCCTGATCGCCTCTTTAAATGCTCAGACTGAGATCGGGGGGGGGGGGGGGGGGGGGGGGGGGGGGGGGGGGCTGAGGACCACTGCTCTAGAAGGACAATTAGTTTGATTTGTTGTTTCATTTGCTAACAAAACACAATAAAACCAGCTAACAATCTGAAAACTTTAATAACTTCATGGAGATGCCTCCATCTGTCACCATGGTAACAAGTCTAATGCTGCTGCAGACAACTGGACTGTGATTGGCTCCTTTACTATCATCGGCCCTTCTTCATCTTGGACACCTTCTCCTTTCTCTTCTTCACGTGTTTAGGGACTTTGGCCTTCCTCTTCTCTCTCTGAGCTTCTTTCACCATCTTCTTCCTCTCCTGGAACAGTAGGGAGTTAGTTATTCTTCAGAAAAGAATCACACCTTCCTGTTTCTAACATCTGCTTCACAAATTGGACACCTTTTTCTCCATTGTAGTCTCCTTCTCCTCCTCAGACTGTTGCTCCTTCTCCTCCTCCTCCTCCTCCTCCTCCTCTGAGGAAGACCCATTGTTTGTCAGCAGCTCTGGAACCTGAGCAGACATCAGAAACCTTAGTCATGTTTAACAAGATGGAGCTCAGGCTTTAAAGGTTTCTGTATTCAACCCTGATCTTGGTTCTAACCGTAGATCAGGAGGTGGAGCTTTCAGTTCTTCAGCTCCTCTCTGGTGGAACTACCTTCCATCACTGTGTAGTTAGGATGAGCCTGGCTTATCCCTTTAGCTATGCAGCTATAGACTTATCCCTTTAGCTATGCAGCTATAGACTTATCCCTTTAGCTATGCAGCTATAGACTTAAGCCGCTTTAATAAGACAACCCATGCAGGCAAATCATTGTAATGCTGCTGCCACTGAGTGTGAGTGCCGCGGTGCATGGTGACATGGGAATCTTGCTGCACTTGCGCCGCCACGCTTGGTGGTGCCCGCCGGACTTTGTAAATGAAAATTACACCAGAGGGCGGTGTCATGATCACACGTTACTGGCGAGCTCTGGCTGGCTACAACGCTGAAAATGAAAGAAAACACGAGCATAAGTTTGGCTTTTGTAAACAGAACCAGCTGAGATGGTAAACTGGAGTGATGTAGAGCTCCGGCTCAGGTCACCAGACATTTCACAGATTGTGGAGGACAAACACATTTAGGAGCAACTGGTCAGAAATACTTCAGGAGCGTGGCTTGGATCACAATAAAACTTTAGTTATCAAACTAAAGGGAAGTCTGTGACAGCACAGAGACCGCCCCATACCCACTTTTAACAGCCATCTTTTGTTAAACGGACATGACTGAGCCACATTACCGCCACAATCTGACCACTGATAAATGACCAAAGCCTGCCTGATGCCTGATGCCGCCTCAGCTTTGTGGCAAATTGACGGTATCGTTTTATAAAAGCGAGTCTAGACTGGTGCTGCTGCCATTTACTTTGTTTACTCTGTTTCTCTCTCATAGGACTGATGGGTGGACCAACCCTGCTGGGTCTGGGTCCTTTTCCTGTCCTCAGATGCAAGTCTGTCCTGGTTCTGGTTCTGCTGGATGCTCTCCCTGGCCTACTGCTGCCCTGTTGCTCAGGATGGAAAACTGTAGTCAAGATTATCTCTGTTGGTTCCTTCCTACAGTTCGTGTCTCTAACTTTAACCGGACCAGATCAGATCTGGACCAGATGTCTCTTGCATGACCTAGACCAGAACGGATCTGGACCAGATGTCTCTAGCATTACTCATACCAGAACAGATCTGGACCAGATGTCTCTAGCATGACTCAGACCAGAAAAGATCTAGACCAGATGTCTCTAGCATGACCCAGACCAGATCAGATCTGGACCAGATGTCTCTAACATGACTCAGACCAGATCGGATCTTGACCAGGTGTCTCTAGCATGACACAGACCAGATGTTTCTAGCATAACTCAGACCAGATCAGATCAGAACCAAATGTCTCTATCATGACTCAGACCAGATCAAATCTGGATCAGATGTCTCTAGCATTACTCAGACCAGATCAGATCTGGACCAGATGTCTCTAACATGACTAAGACCAGATCGGATCTCGACCAGGTATCTCTAGCATGACCCAGACAAGATGTCTCTAGCATGACTCAGACCAGATCAGATCTGGACCAAATATCTCTAGCAAGACCCAGACCAGATCAGATCTGGATCAGATGTTTCTGAAGTGAACCAGACCAGATCAGATCTGGACCAGATGTCTCTAGCATGATTCAGACCAGATCAGATGTCTCTATCATGACTCAGACCACATCAGATCTGGACCAGATGTCTCTAACATGACTCAGACCAGATCAGATCTGGACCAGATGTCTCTAGCATGACTCAGACCAGATCAGATCTGGACCAGATGTCTCTACCATGACTCAGGCCAGATCAGATCTGGACCAGATGTCTCCAACATGACTCAGACCAGATCAGATCTGGACCAGATGTCTCTATCATGATTCAAACCAGATGTCTCTAAAGCCCCCTTCAGACAAGCCATGAAAAACGGAAATGTTCCGGACTCTGTCCGTAAGACCTTTGTGTCTGAATACAAACATCCGGATAACGAATTTCGTAATTTAACCGGACGAAGCCCCTAGTAACAGGTCCGGACTTGTTACGGACAAGGTGGCTGCTTCAGACTGGTGAGGTCGAGTTCCGGACAGGGAGGAGGGGGAGGCGGAGGGGACCGGGGGACGCTGTGCGCAGCTAGATAGCCCTCTGCTGTAGCATGCGGCGAACCATGGCAGCTCGCCTCCTACGGTACCGTCTCCGCGCGACGGAGCGCATCACACCGCTTCCGTGATTCCTTTTAACCATTGTAAGTAAGTAAGTAAGTAAGTAAAAGTTTATTCATATAGCGCCTTTCGCAGATATAAATCACAAAGCGCTGTACAACATGAGTAAGATCAGGGCAAATACCTCTAACCAATAAAAACATCAGAAAAACAATAGATAAAATAGTAAATAAAATCATGAGTAAAAACAAAGTGAAGGTGTGAACCCGAAGAAAGCCATCTTTTAGAACATTTAGGGAGGGAACGCCTGGATGAAAAGGTGAGTTTTTAGATGATTTTTAAAGACCTCTACAGTGTTAGAGAGACGGAGATTTGAAGGTAGACTGTTCCAAAGTCTGGCTGCAATAGTCTGAAAGGCCCTGTCCCCTTTGGTTTTCAGTCTGGTTCGAGGAACAGCCAGGAGGTTTTCAGATGTGGATCTAAGGTTCCGAGAGGTGGTGTGTGGGGATAAAAGCTCAGATAGGTAGCTTGGAGCCTGGTTGTTAAGAGCTCTATAGGTCAGGACTAAAACTTTAAACTGTATTCTATATTCTACCGGGAGCCAGTGGAGGGACTGTAAAACTGGAGTGATGTGAGCTCGTCTGCTGGATTTGGTTAGGAGTCTAGCTGCTGCATTTTGGATGGCTTGAAGGCGTGAGAGGGAGGTTTTGCTGAGACCAGTAAAAAGAGCGTTACAATAGTCTAAGCGTGATGACACAAAGGCATGGATGATTTTTTCCAGACCATTTTCCAGAAAATTGAGCTTCATCATCCTGGTCTCTTGTGCATCTTCGTGTGCGCAGAATTATGCTTAACATACAGGTGCTGGCCAGTAAATTAGAATATCATCAAAAGGTTGAAAATATTTCAGTAATTCCATTCAAAACGTGAAACTTGTACATTATATTCATGCAATGCACACAGACCAATGTATTTCCGATGTTTATTACGTTTAATTTTGATATTTATAGGTGACAACCAATGAAAACATCAAATCTGGTATCTCAGAAAATTAGAATATTCTAAAGGCCAATGAAAAAATGTTTGTTTCTCTAATGTTGGCCAACTGAAAAGAATGAACATGAAAAGAATGTGCATGTATAGCACTCAATACTTAGTCGGGGCTCCTTTTGCCTCAATAACTGCAGTAATGCGGCGTGGCATGGACTCGATCAGTCTGTGGCACTGCTCAGGTGTTATGAGAGCCCAGGTTGCTCTGATAGTCGTCTTCAGCTCCTCTGCATGGTTGGGTCTAGCGTATTGCATCCTCCGCTTCACAATACCCCATAGATTTTCTATGGGGTTAAGGTCAGGCGAGTTTGCTGGCCAATCAAGGACAGGGATACCATGGTCCTTGAACTAGGTGCTGGTGGTTTTGGCACTGTGTGCAGGTGCCAAGTCCTGTTGAAAGGTGAAGTCTGCATCCCCATAAAGTTGGTCAGCAGCAGGAAGCATGAAGTGCTCTAAAACTTCCTGGTAGACGGCTGCATTGACCCTGGACCTCAGGAAACAGAGTGGGCCAACACCAGCAGATGACATGGCACCCCACACCATCACTGACGGTGGAAACTTTACACTGGACCTCATGCAACGTGGATTCTGTGCTTCTCCGCTCTTCCTCCAGACTCTGGGTCCTTGATTTCCAAAGGAAATGCAGAACTTGCTTTCATCAGAAAACATAACTTTGGACCACTCAGCATCAGTCCAGTCCTTTTTGTCCTTGGCCCAGGCGAGACGCTTCTTGCGCTGTTTCTTGTTCAAGAGTGGCTTGACACACGGAATGCGACACCTGAATCCCATGTCTTTCATGAGTCTCCTCGTGGTGGTTCTTGAAGCGCTGACTCCAGCTGCAGTCCACTCTTTGTGGATCTCCCCCACATTTTTGAATGGGTTTGTCGTCACAATTCTCTGCAGGGTGCGGTTATCCCTAGAGCTTGTACACTTTTTTCTACCACATTTTTTCCGTCCCTTCGCCTGTCTGTTAATGTGCTTGGACACAGAGCTCTGCGAACAGCCAGCTTCTTTAGCAATCACCTTTTGTGTCTTGCCCTCCTTGTGCAAGGTGTCAATGATTGTCTTTTGGACAGCTGTTAAGTCAGAAGTCCTCCCCATGATTGTGGTGCCTTCAAAACAAGACTGAGGGACCTTTTAAAGGCCTTTGCAGGTGTTTTGAGTAAATCAGCTGATTAGAGTGGCAGCAGGTGTCTTCTATATTCAGCCTTTTCAGAATATTCTAATATTTTGAGATACCAAATTTGGAGTTTTCATTAGTTGTCACTTATGAATATCAAATTTAAATGTAATGAACATTGGAAATACATTGGTCTGTGTGCATTGCATGAATATAATGTACAAGTTTCACGTTTTGAATGGAATTACTGAAATATTTTCAACCTTTTGATGATATTCTAATTTACTGGCCAGCACCTGTAAGTCCGATCAGTGAGAGGAATTCTATCTCTTCGTCTGTCATGTTTGACAGAATGGCTTTGTTTGAGTAAATGACGCATGTACGCCCGCCGCACTATTTCTCCCACATCCCGACATCTGGAACTTTTCCCTGCTGTGTGAAGGCAGCCGAAAGGACAAGTTCCGGTACAAAAGTGGTGTGTCTGAAAACACAGTTCCGGTTAAAAACCAGATTGAATTGTCCACATATTCCAGAATGTCTATCTGAAAAGGGCCTAACATGACTCAGACCACATCAGATCTGGACCAGATGTCTCTAACATGACTCAGACTAGATCAGATCTGGACCAGTTGTCTCCAACATGACTCAGGCTAGATCAGATCTGGACCAAATATCTCTAGCATGACTCAGACCAGATCAGATCTGGACCAGATGTCTCAAATGAGCCATTCCCATCTGTACCGGGTCGGCCCAGGCCGGGTAGCCCCAGTCGGCCCCAGCCTGGCCCGGTTGATTCCACACATCCTTGCTTAGGTATGCAAGAAATGCAGTCAGAGACACTTTCAGCTTCTGGGTAATCAGCATGATAATGAATTGAGCATGCCTTAAGCCCATGTGGGCTGATTCTACCCACCAATCAGAGGCTTGCTCTAATGGAAGGTGTGAATTTGCTGTCAGCAGTGGGTGTGTTGGCCCTGGTCGGCCTGAAGCAGACCCCCTCGAGAAGAGGGCTGAGAATGAGCCTTGGTTGGCCCGGGAAAATTCCAGGCCACCCAGATATGTAAACAACCTACGCTGCCCGGCCCGGGCCGACCCGGTACAGATGGGAATGGGGCTCAATGGGCCATTCCCATCTGTACCTGGTCGGCCCGGCCCGGATAGCATAGCTTGCTTACATATCTTGGCCTGCCTTTTTTCAGGGTGCAACAAGACTGTTTTTCAGCCCTCTTTCTGAGGTGGTCGGCTGACCAGGGCCAACACAGCAAATTCACACCTTCCATTAGAGCAAGCCTCTGACTGGTGGGTAGAATCAGCCCACATGGGCTTAAGGCATGCTCAATTCATTATCATGCTGATTACCTAGAAGCTGAAAATGTCTCTGACTGCATTCCTTGCATACCTAAGCAAGGATGTGTGGAATCAACCCGGCCAGACTGGGGCCGACTGGAGCTATCTGGGCAGGGCCGACCAGGTACAGATGGGAATGGCCCATAACATGACTCAGACCACATCAGATCTGGACCTGTTAGAGACAACTTCTGTTATAACTTGGAATTTTAGATCTAAACTGAATTCAACAGAACGCATACCGTCTGAACTCCAGAGAGGTCCTTCCTCAGGCCCGTCAGAGTCCGATACAGAACCTACGGCAACACAAAGTTTCATCAAACCATTAGCACCTTCAGTCCTATTCAAGGACATGTCCCCAGCAGCCACATGGTGGAACACAAAAAAATCAGTAGAATTAAAAACACACAGACCATGTTGTTGGTGAATAAAGGCAAAAAATGTGTGATGATGTAATGGCCCGTGTGGGCGGGGCTAACCAGTCTTACATGTGGGGTTTTATTATTGGGTTGTTTTTGGTCTTTTATCAAGGCTGGACTCCAGAAGTTAACAGTTTCCACATGGACCCAAGGGATAAACCATCAAAGCTGCTCAATGGCCAACTTTCCTCGTGGGGTCACCATTAGGACAGTGGGAGGGTTAAAGCAGATGGATGACATCTGCATAAAGATGGTAGGAGATTCCTCAGGCAGAGAAACAGGAATAAAGCTGTCTAGGCTGATGGGGCGAGTTAGACTCAGGAGAGGCAGAGATAATGCTGAAGGAGAGATGCGGGTCTCACCACAACTTTGACCTCCTATAACCTTTTTCACCGGTCTGTTTGTCTGAGAGTGCCAACTGTTTTAGAAGACCTGTCCTCGTCTCAAAGAAACAGCTGGACAAAGGTCTCACTGGGATCAGGATGGAGGGATGGTTGTGGGGACCGCTCAGTGTTTCTTACGCTGTCCTCGTGGCCGCTGATGGCTGACTCATCTTCCTTGGCCCTCATCATGTCCACGTCATGCTCATAATGCCTGACTTCCGTCAGTGTACGAGGGATGTAGGCTTTCTTAAACACCTGCAGGGTCCGGAGCCAGAAGTCAGAGGTCAGAGGTCAAAGTTCTGAGAAGCACCATCAGAAACACAAGATCACCTCCTCATCCACACGATCCTGATCCGACCGCTCCTCTGATGTCCGCTCAGCCGCGATCCCCATTACCTGTTCGACCAATCACAGTCGTTAGAGGCACTTCCAGTGTTTGAGTTCATGTGTGTGTGTGTGTGTGTGTGTGTGTGTGTGTGTATATACTAGGGATGAGCGAGTACACCACTATCTGTATCTGTATCTGTTCAACCAACAAAATTGTCTGTATCTGTATCTGTACTCGGAGTGGGCGTGGCATAACCCGGAAGTGGGCGTGGTTTAACCGGAAGTGGGTGTGGTTTACATCAATACATTATTTTAAGTCTGAAATTGATATGGATTGATCAGAAGTTGATATGTGTATTGTTTATTTGAAAACTATTTACAGAGCAGCCTCAGAATTGAGATTAAATATTTTTGATCACAATAGTAAAGAAACTATTTCAGAACAAGTGTTTCAATAAAATCAGAACATTAATATTTAAGTGCATGGATTAATACATCTGAGCTCATGCAGTAGGAACTAGGAAATATGAAATGCTAGAACCAGACACAACTTTATATATATATTTTTTTATTTTAATTTGATTAAACAGATTTTTTTTCTTAACGTTCTTGGCATTTTCCCCACACAAAGTTAAACAAAGCAATGTTGATTAAAGCCTGGTTTATGCTTCTCCGTCAGCTCCGCAAGGGACAGACACGCACGGATTGACGGAAGCATTTTGCTCTCATACTTCTCCGTCTCCTGGGGAGTGTTACCAAGCAATTCCCCAGCAGGACAACAGAGGGCGTAGTACTGTTCTGTGGTATCCTGTCATGTATCGGTCCAAGATCGTGTGTTTATATTGTGTTTTTTTGTGTACATAAGAGACTTTTAACACAGACATATTTGTCTCTCATTCTCCCACCTCTTCATGCGCTCCCCACCTCTAAACCCACGTTTCCTGTCATTTCCGTCCACAAATAAAATGCTTGCTGCGCATCTTTTCACTCCTCCAGTCACGGGAGAATTAAACGTTAATATTTTTAGAGTTTTTTCGCGAGGTATTCTTCAAGCTTCTCCGTGTCTGCCGCTAGTTATCCTCGGCTCTCTTTGCAATGGCGGCGCTGTAAACAACAGTGGTGTCCTGACCAATCACAAGCTTGCGTAATCTGTCTCGTTCGACGGATGTTTAAAAAAGTGGGCTCGACTCCGTACGTACTTGCGTGCCTGCCGGAGCCCTACGCAAGGACGGATGATGGCGTTGCGTGTCTCCGCACTGACGCAGACGGAGAAGCATAAATCAGGCTTAAGGTGTGTGTGTCTGAGAGAAATAGAGAGGGTGAGAGGGAGAGAGATGGAGTTAAAAAAAATTTAAAAAACCGACCGGAGCGGAGGTAGTGAGTGACTTATGCAGAACGTCAGCTCTGTCTTGTCAAATGCACCATGTAAGTTACGAAAAAAGTAACTTTAAATATTCAACTGAAAAAGAGGCGAGCTGAAGAAAACCTAGGGACTACTGAAGAAACGTGAGCAACAGTGAAGCAATCACAGCGAGATCCGTTACTGTCTGTGTGTGTGCGTGGATGAGCTGGACGGACTGCTCTCCCGGCCGGCTAGAGAGTTTTGTGTGTAGGGAGGGGTGGGCGCTCTATGTGACTGGCCAATCACAGAGCGTGAAGACAAGTCAGTTACCCAATGAGGATTTTCCTTCAGCACGATTACAGATATTTCTGAGGTTTACTCGTTTCATGCTCGTATTCGTCAAAAATGCTTTATCCGTACCGGATACTCGTCTGAAACGAGTATCCGGCTCATCCCTAATGTATACGTGTGCGTGTGTGTATATATATGTGTGTGTGCATGTGTGTGTGCATGTGTGTATGTGTGTGTGCATGTGTGTGTGTGTGTGTTTGTGTGCATAAGTGTGTGAATGTGTGTGAATGTGTGTGTATGTGTGTGCATGCATGTGTGTGCGTGTGTGCATGTGTGTGCATGTGCATGTGTGTGTGTGTGTGTGTGTGTGTGTGTGTGTGTGTGTGTGTACCTTCTCCAGGTACTGCTGGATATTCATGCAGGTGATTGACGGATCTGTGATGAAGTCGAACAGCTCTCTGACCGTCATCACTGCAACTCCTCGTTTCACAAAGAATTCTAGGAAAACAGACAAAGGTCCAGATCAGACACAGAACCAGAGGTTCTAGAACCTCTAAAGGTGCTTTACAACACAAACATTCATCCATTCACACACTGGTGGTGATGAGCTACGTCACAGCCATAGCAGCTCTGGGATGCACGGACAGGCGAAGCACCACCATAAGCTGGCAAGGAAGGTGAAGTGCCTTGCCCAAAAACACAACAACCACAACAGATGGGGCTCAAACCAGCAACCCTCAGGTTACGAGTCAGGGACTTGACTCCCCTGCCACCACCGTCTACCCTCTGAATCTGTGCTAGAACTCTCAGGACCAGCCGTCTCCCACAGCAGGGTCCAGCCTGGCCGGGTTATGCACACCCTAAGGAATGAGGACGTGACTGAGCATATGGGCGGAGCAAAGACATCAGTGATGTCATGAGTGGATCTCCAAGCACGTGGGCAGGGCTAAAGGCATGCGGAGAAGTCCACAGTGTCTCCCTAAAATGTAACAATGGCATTCGTGGGCTGTACTGTTTTTGGAGACTCTGACTCTGATGTTGCTTCCTGATCTGCTGTCAATCAATCAATCAAACTTTATTTATAAAGCGCTTTTCCTACAAGGAATGCAACTCAGTGTTTTACAGATTATGGCCCCACATAACCCTCATTCCCATCCCTCCCACACCAATTCAGCATTGGCTTACCCCCATACACACACTTAAAAACATCAGTTCAGATGAACCAGATATGGTAGGGCAGGGAAACGCCATCAGAGGAGCCGTCTGCCTCGGCAGCAGCAGCAGCTGAGGTACCGGCACAGGGTGCAGAGGGGAAGGGGGGCATAGGCCCCGCCTCCACCCAAGCAGCAACAGCTGACCACCGCCCCTGAGGCAGAGGGCCCCCATAGAGGAAACACTGGAAGAAAAGTTAATATAAGACGAAATATAAAATAACAGAAGCTAATATAACAGTAAATGTAGGTAAATATTACAACAAGTTATAATAAATAATAAAATTATCCAGAAGTAGAATAAAACTGTGATGAAATGTAATCAATTACAGAGCAAGTAATCAGTTAAAGGCTAAGCTAAGGTGGGGCTGTAGCCTGGAACATGGACATTCTCCAGCAGCCTGTTCCAGAGGCAAGGGCCATGGTGTGTGTGTGTGTGTGTGTGTGTGTGTGTGTGTGTGTGTGCGTGCGTGCGTGCGTGCGTGCGTGTGCAGTGGCGGATTTAGCTATTTGGGGGCTCAAAACGAACACAGACACGGGCCCCTTATGCAAAATTTTCGACAATGCTATCTTAAAATAGATTTGCGAAAGTCTCCCCTCTTTTGACGTGTTATTTTCACTTTTTATTAGTCCTCCTCTTTTTTCCTGTCTTTCTCTCCCTTTGAGTGACTTCAATATTTGCTCTGCTTTCTTCTCCCTGTCAGTGCTCCTGTGCTTTTGCCTTTCCTTTTTTTTCTTCTATTTTCCATTTTGGTCTACGTTTTTCTCTCTTTAAACATTTTCCATTGTCTTTCCTTTTCTGCTTCCTTTTGATGCTTACATTGAAAAACAACGTAACTTTCTGAAGTGAAGATAAAAGCTTTTTTAAAGCCAACTGCTTCTTTCTCTTAATGGAGCCACTAGGATAACTCCATTTCATGCTTAATGTTTGGACTACCACTTTGAGTTTGTTACAAACGCTCCCGCCTCTCTTCTTCTTTTTCAGCTTTTTCTTCTTCTTATTTGTGGTCTTATGGCATTTGGCAAACAACAACTGGGTGCATTACTGCCACCAACTGGATTGGAGTGGAATGACTGCCAATCACTTCCTGTTTGTGCATCGGCATCTCAAAGGAATAGTCCATTGTGGCATTAACAGAGGTGCCAGCAGTCAGGGCTAGCGCCCCCCCCCCCCCCCCCCCCCCCCAACATAAGAAGGGCCCCAGGTGGCCGTCGACCTATGCCTAATGGTAAAACCACCACCGTGTGTATGCGCTCACAGCACAGACGGCTTCAGTCAGAGGCATGTGTCCTCCACAGTAACCAGAAAGATGAACTGTGCCCCCGCAAGATGATTCCATCCACCAATCAGAGGCGCCCCCAAATGTTAGGTGTGATTTTGAGCAATTAGTCGGCAGAGGGTGTGTTGGACCAGTTTAGCCCAACCCCGCCTAGCCCAAGCTAGTGGGAAGCCTGATACACTGCTTATGCACAAATTTGTCCTTTCCTACGAAAACCTGCTGATTAGAAAGAACACTCTGACCCTGGTGTAACCCTCCCTCCCCACCACCACCACCACCACCACCACCACCACCACACACGCACACACACACACACACACACACACACACACACACACACACACACACACACACACACACACACACACACACACACACACACACACACACACACACACACACACACACACACACACACACACACACACACACACACACACACACACACACACACACACACACACACACACACACACACAGCATTGTCTCTGGTTGCCAGGACATGACGATGTGCCCTTGAGCAGGACTCTGAACCGCCTTCCCCTCGCGAGTCCTCCCACTTCCATCTCACCGTTCACGTTGCTGCAGTCTTTCCTGAGGAACTCCAGGGCGCGGGGGTGGTCGTGCTCCACCGACTGGGACACATCGATGATGTAGACGTCTCCGTTGTGGTACCTGGAGACAGATCAGAACTTCAGAGAAACACGGCCAGAACCACACGGAACACCAAGTCTCAGATGCTCTCCTTACAGCATGTTGTACTCGCTGAGGTCAGCATGAACTAAATGAGCATCCTGGAACATTCTTCTCATGTTCTGCACAACCTGAAGGTAGAGTTCCCGGGCCTTGGACTCTGACAGAGCTGCATTCTTCAGCAGAGGAGCCGGTCTGGACCACAGAACACAGAACGTCTGAAGTTAGTCAGAAACCAACCGTCTCAGCAGAAACAGCTGTTCTTCTCACATGCTGTCGGTTCCGATGAAGCCCATCAGCAGAACGTGACTTCTGAGCAGCAAAGGTTCTGGACTCAGGATTCCTGCTGTCTGCAGCCTGGAACACACAAAACTCCCGGTTCTGTCTGGTTCAGATTCTACTGGGTTCAGACAGTTCAGAAGTTCTAACCTGATGAGGTTCCTCATCTCTTTCTCTGCCCAAGTTCTCACCATCTTCCTGGGGTTTCCTTTACAGTAACCGTGTCGGAACCTGCCAGCCAGTAGCAGAACCTTGGTCAGCTCAGACCCAGCTGGAGGTCAGAAGAGAACATCCATTGTGTCCGAGCTCACCTGAACTCCCCGCTGACGTACTTGTCCCGGTCTTTGAACAACAGGATGGAGGTCTTGTAGATCTTGATGGCTCTACTGTCTCCTGAAGAGGTGCTAGCATGATAAACGTTAGCCTGAAGAACAGAGAGGACAGGTAAAAAATAAAAACTAAAGCAAAAGATAAATGACACACAAGTGTGTAGCGCCTTTCAGAGTAAGGACCCTACAGTGCATCATTCACCCATTCACGCGCTGATGGTGATGAGCTACCATGTAGCCACAGCTGCCCTGGGGCATGCTGACAGAGACGGGGATGCCTTAACCAGGCGCCACCGGTCCCTCCGTCCACCACTAGCAGGTGTGGTGGATTAAGTGTCTTGCCAAAGGACACAACAGCAGGATTCTGTGCCGGGAGCCGGGATTGATCCTACAACCTTCCGATTACTGGACAACCTGCTCTACCTCCTGAGCTGCTGCTGGGGCTTTAAAATAAAGCACAACTATAAAATATATCTATGAGTCAGAGGACTTACCCTACAGCATTTGTCACCAACTGCTGAACCTCGGTCCAACTTCAGACCAAGTGTTGGTTCTGTCCAGACTGGGAGGCTAAGTGCCAGAAAAAACCCAGAGTGCTGTTTGATCGGTCTGCAGTAAAACTGTTGGTGCAGCTAATCCACTTATTACGGTAATCATCTTCTGTTAATGGTGTATTTTAGTCAGAATAGCAATTCAAATCAAAGCCTTTAGCTTAGTAGTAGTAGTAGAAATACTAGTAAGTAAGTAAGTAGAAAATATTATTTATATTAGTACTCATCACAGACAGATTACCAGAGTGCTTCACATATATCAAAACAAAATAAAACATAAATCAGAATGATCTCAAAACAGAAATGTATCAACATCAGAAAAATAAAGTCATTAAATTATAAAATACCATAAAACTAATGAAAGATGGTTATAAACAAGAGTTAAAAATAAGAAAATAAAAGATTGAGGTAAAAGCAGCTTTAAGTAATAAGAGTCTTCAGCTGTTTGTTAAAGTAAACACGTCTGCAGGCTCTCATCTTGTACTAGAAGTAGTAGCAGTGGTTGTAGTAGTAACAATATTAGGGCTGGGAAAATTAGCTCACTAACTATTAGCGTTAATTTAGTTATTTTAATGCATTAAAAGTCGTCTTCCTCCGCTTATCCACGTCCGGGTCGCGGGGGCGGCAACCCAACTAGGGAGTTCCAGACTGTCCTCTCCCCAGCCACCTCCACCAGTTACTACGGCAGGACCCCAAGGCGTTCCCGGACCAGATTGGAGATGTAACCTCTCCAACGTGTCCTGGGTCGACCCGGGGGTCTCCTGCCGGCAGGACATGCCCGAAACACCCCCCCAAGGAGGCATCCAGGAGGCATCCGCTTGTATTCGCAATCTTGTTCTTTCGGTCACTACCCAAAGCTCATGACCATAGGTGAGGATTGGGACGTAGATCGACCGGTAAATCAAGAGCCTGGCATTCTGGCTCAGCTCCCTCTTCACCATGACAGATCGGCTAAGCGCCCGCATCACTGCAAACGCTGAACCAATCCGCCTGGCGATCTCCCGATCCCTCCTACCCTCACATGTGAAGAAGACCCCGAGATACTTAAACTCCTCCACTTGAGGTAGGACCTCTCTCCCGACCCGGAGTTGGCAAGCCACCCTTTCCCGGTCGAGAACCATGATCTCAGATTTGGAGGTGCTGATCCTCATCCCAGCCGCTTCACACTCGGCCGCGAACCTACCCAGCAAGAGCTAAAGGTCAGAGCTGGATGAAGCTAGGAGGACCACATCATCCACAAAAAGCAGAGACGAGATTCTCCTGCCACCAAACTCGACACACTCCACACCATGGCTGCACCTAGAAATTCTGTCCATAAAGGTAACAAACAGAACCAGTGACAAAGGGCAGCCCTGGCGGAGTCCAACCCTCACTGGGAACAGGTCCAACTTACTACCGGCTATGCGGACGAAACTCACGCTCCTCTGGTAAAGGGACTGAATGGCCCTTAACAAAAGGCCACCCACCCCATACTCCTGGAGCGTCCCCCACAGGGTGCCCCTGGGGACACGGTCATAAGCCTTCTCCAAATCCACAAAACACATGTGGATTGGTTGGGCAAACTCCCATGCCCCCTCCATCACCCTTGCAATGGTATAGAGCTGGTCCACAGTTCCACGGCCAGGACGAAAACCACATTGCTCCTCTTCAATCTGAGATTCAACTATCGATCGGACCCTCCTCTCCAGTACCTTGGAGTAGACCTTTCCAGGGAGGCTGAGGAGTGTGATCCCCTATAGTTGGAACACACCCTCCAGTCACCCTTCTTAAAGATGGGGACCACCACCCCAGTCTGCCACTCCACAGGAACTGCCCCTGATGACCACACAATGTTGCAGAGACGTGTCAACCACGACAGCCCTACCACATCCATAGCCTTGAGATACCCAGGATGAATCTCATCCGCCCCTGGGGCTCCGCCGCTGTGTAGTTGTTTGACTACCTCAGCAACTTCTGCCCCAGAGATTGGACAGTCCATCCCCAGGTCTCCCTGCTCTGGCTCCTCTTCGGAATGCGCGTAGGTGGGATTGAGGAGCTCCTCAAAGTATTCCTTCCACCGCCCGACTATAGCCCCAGTTGACGTCAGCAGCTCCCCATTCCCACTGTAAACAGTGTGAGCGAGTTGCTGCCTCCCTCTCCTGAGGCGCCGGACAGTTTGCCAGAACCTCTTTGGCGCCGATCGATAGTCTTTCTCCATGGCCTCACCAAACTCCTCCCACGCCCGAGATTTTGCCTCGGCAACTGCCACTGCTGCACCCCGCTGGGCTATCCAGTACTCGTCTGCTGCCTCCGGAGACCCACAGACCAGCCACACCCTGTAGGCCTCCTTCTTCAGCCTGACAGCTCCCCGAACCTCTGGTGTCCACCAGCGGGTACGGGGGTTGCCACCACAACTGGCACCGGCCACCTTGCGACCACAGCTAGCAACAGCCGCCTCAACAATCGCAGAGTGGAACAAGGCCCACTCGGAGTCGATGTCCCCCACTGCTCTCGGGACGCGGTCAAAGCTCTGCCGGAGGTGGGTGTGGAAGATCGTCTTGACAGGTTCTTCTACCAAGCGTTCCCAGCAGTCTCTCACTATGCATTTGGGTCTGCCAGGTCTATGCGGCATCTTCCCCTGCCATCTGATCCAACTCACCACCAGGTGGTGATCAGTTGACAGCTCCACTCCTCTCTTCACTCGGGTGTCCAAAACATACAGCTGCAGGTCAGATGATACGACTACAAAGTCTATCATCGACCTGCAACCTAGGCTGCCCTGGTACCAAGTGTACCGATGGGCATCCTTATGTTCGAACATGGTGTTCGTTATGGCCAAACTGCGGCTTGCACAGAAGTCCAATAACGAAACACCACTCGAGTTCAGATCAGGCGGGCCGCTCTCCCAATCACACCCCTCCAGGTCATGTTGTCATTGCCCACGTGAGCATTGAAGTCCCCCAGCAGGACAATGGAGTCCCCTGATGGAGCACTATCCAGCACAGTGTTAAAAGTAAAGGACGTAATTAATTTGACCACCTCTCCAACCCGGAGCCACCATTCTCCAAAATGTCTCCATATTTCCCCCTGGACAATATTGCTAACATCATTTACTGAGCCTGAAAAATGACCAAGTTTCTACCATATTATGGACTCTCAACATCAAGGAATCATCTGAGCGGAGAAGATGAAACGAAGCAGAGCGCTCATGTGCTCCACCGGCATCTGCGTCTTGCCCACGGCCACAGTAACATCCTCAAAGCGGCGCCACCAAAATATATTCAACACACAATAATTCCTAACTGCAATGGTACTTTCTAACTTTTATTCATGGCTGACGCACATCGCGGCTGCGCTAATCACCCGAGTGCCACGGCCACGGCCAGGCAGCGTTTTTTCTGGAGAACTAGATCCAGCATCTGCCACAGGGAGATGCAGGATCTAGTTCTCCAGAGACAGACAGACAGGATAATCAGAGACAGACAGACAGGATAACCAGAGACAGACAGGACAGGACCAGAGACAGACAGGACAGGATAATCAGAGACAGGCAGGACATAGAAATCAGAGACAGACAGGATATGAAAATCAGAGAAAGACAGGACAGGATAGAGACAGACAGGTTGGGACCAGAGACAGACAGTACAGGATAATCAGAGACAGACAGGATATGAAAATCAGAGAAAGACAGGACAGGATAGAGACAGACAGGACAGGACCAGAGACAGACAGGACGGGACCAGAGACAGACAGGACGGGACCAGAGACAGACAGGACGGGACCAGAGACAGACAGGACAGGACCAGAGAAAGACAGGACAGGACCAGAGAAAGACAGGACAGGACCAGAGAAAGAAAGGACAGGATAGAGACATATTAAGAAAACAAAACAAAGAGCTTGGAAAGGAAAATGTAGGTAGATTTATCCCACTAAATGTTTAACGTTGTAAAGTAAATATTATTTATAAGCTCATAATATTCATATATTCCAAACAATTCAGATCACCTTCAAAACTCCGTCCCACCCAGGGCCTTATCAAGGCATTTGGGGGCCATGCCAGCGAGGTGTCCCTTATTTATTTTTTGGGGAGTTGGCAATCCTAGTTCAATCGATGCTGTGGAAAATAGGGCTGTCACGGTAACCGCAAAAATGAAATATCGCTATATGAAGAAACCCACCGCGCTGCATCATGGGCCACCGTGATTACTGAACTTGATTCAACTCAATGATGCATGTTGAGAAGGATGGCTGCACTGGTATCAAAACGAAACGTTACTTCGCTCCTTTGGGAGCACTTTGGTTTTCAGTACGTCAGCTGCTGCGCAGCCAGAGTCCTTGGCCGAGACAGAGCTGCCACCAGCGGCAAAATAAATAAATAAATAAATAAACGCTCGGAGACCTGCTGAAGTCCCGGACAAGCACTGCTTCTGCAACCGTCCCAAAGAGAGTTTGAGCCGAGCTGGAGCTCACTCGCTACCTGTAAGAGGAATGCATCCACCCTAAAGAAACCCCCCTGACATGGTGGAGCAACAACCGGGAGAGATTCCCTTTGCTCGCCAGTCGCA